TAAGACATGTTAAGACATCCATCAATTTACCATCATTATATTTCCATAAATGTATTTGTTAAGACATCCATCAATTTACCATCACTACACTAGACATTTTTACAATTTTTCTACAGACAGATCTTTTATTTCAATGTGCAGTTCACATATAATAGCACAGAGGGCGCTGTTGCTGGGTTATAACATGTACTGACGTTGTGTTACGGTGCGTGTGTCTGTAATTGAACAATTGCCTGTCCCACCGCATTGAATATAAACGATAAGTTTCTACAGTACATGTGTTGTGTTTTTATTTAATTAATATATATTTCCACTTTTTAAAATTCTCCTCTACAACGTCATCACAACTCGTGCTGCTAAAGTCACTGTTAATATTCTGGCGCTGAGTCCCAATCAGAGTTAATCCTATAGTAGGATATTGTGTTGAATGAGGCAGAGCTGGTTAAATATAGCAGGCATTTTCAGGCTGACTTGAATGGTGTCCATTGTATATGTGTGGATTTATATAATCAGTCCACTCATGTTAAACTGCTTTTTGGAAATCACACCAGCAGAAAAGAACCGTGATTATAGGAAAGGCGAAGCCAGCAGATGACAGACGTGCATGTAATACAGCGAGTGACCTGAAGGCGCTGCACAACTGTTTATACTGTACTGAGAAAATAACACCTTAAGCCTCACTTTAAGCCACGTGCACTGTAAGATTTGGAAGAAAAAAAATGTTGCTCTGTGACATTTCTTAAAATTTCTTAACAACAAGAAGGGAAGTTAACTCATTAACTCGTTTCCTTTAACAGTTTTTTTTTTAAATTCCTCAAAATTAAAAAGCTAATCGTTCCTGACACATAGAAAATGTGTTCTAGCTTTACACTTTCTGTTCTGCACTGAAGTATTGTTAAACAACAAGATTCCAAAATGGCCAACACATGGTGCCATCTTGTACTTGAAGTATTTATGATATGAGTATACAGTATGTAACATGTTATTAAACGGTGGAGACATCAGCAGAGCACGTTTCACATGCTGCAGTGGCAGCAGGGCAAGTCAAGACAGCCGGAGACTGGCTCCATTCCCAGGTCTGACACAATGGAGCAGCCCAGGTTCCATGGGACCTAGTCTTGATGCACACATGTAGATATAAAAAAAATAAAAAATAAAAAATATATATATATACGTATTTCACAGGGCTATCGCCAAACAAATATAATTTAAAGAATTAATAATTGGGTAATGATATAATTTTTCTGATTTTTTATAATGAGATATGTCAGAAAAAAATATTTACTGTTGGTAATGCAGGAAGAAAAGAAATATCTTTCAAGAAGCAAATCCTCTCCTACCTCCCATGGGGATAATAAAGTTTTTTTTAATCAGAATCTGAAAGTTCGCTATGATCATATAGGTCATATAGGCTTATAATATTAGGTATAATATTAGGTCTAAAATTATCCCCATTATCAACTTCTTACATGTTATAATTTTATTTTCTGTTAATTTAAAATATTTATTTTGATATTGAATTGTTCTGTGTTGATATTGTGTAAACAATGTAAATTCTCTCTCCCTTTGGAAACACAGACTGTTGGGGGGGGGGGGGGGGGGTGGTAGAGGTGGGGGGGTGGGAAGTTGTTGTATGCTGACGCTGATTCTGTGTATCTTCTTTAAAGCTCTGTGTTGTTTCCTGAGATGAAACAATGACGAGAAGAGTGTGGGCTGCTAGAATCTGCTTTTCTAACGCTTTGGTCTCCTTCCCTTTGTGACCCTCAGTCACACAGACATCACACACACACACCTACACACACACACAGCAGGACCTGGACAGCAGGACCTGGACAGCCTGCTGGAGAGCTGAGAAGACAGTGAAAACAAAAACAGGATACTGGAGGGCAGGTATTTATCTGTGCACTGTCAGGGAGGAATGATCTCTGCAGCAAAATCAGCAACAAGATAAAAACACAGAAAAAGGCCAGGGTGGAGTGGAGCGACAGAACTGTGTCTACGGTGGAACCACTGTCTGAAGAGTCATGTGGACGCTGGGAGAACATGGTGTGTTCACTGACATGCAATAACATTCAGAAGCCTTTTTGATTGGTTTAAACTCATAAATGCTAACGTAATGACAATACATCTTCAATGTACAAAAGCATACAAACTAATATTTTGTCTCCAGAGACACAACCAAAAACGAATAAGATAATAATATGTATTCTTGAAAACAGAAGTCATGCAGTTAGTTGTTTTAAAACTGTGGTTCATTTTGTTAAACTGTCTTAGATAACGCCTGTATTATTGTTTTAAAGAAGTATTAAGACAGTAAACAACTCTAGGGTGTCACTTTGTAATGTATTGTTTATTTATTGTTACTAGCCATAATAACCATAAATGATAAATAGCGAATATTACGTAAATAACAGAAAATATGTTCCAAAAGAAGCAAAAACTTAGCCAAAATACTAAATGGTTTAGCGCTAAATAGCCATGAAAATATACGAATTAAATAAATAGCTTTGCTTTCAATGTACCAAATAGTTTACGAAACGTGTGAAAAACATTTTTTCATCATGAGGAGAAAATACATTATTATTTTTTTAGCGCGGCCGGCGTACGAATCTGATGCGACGTTCGAGAAAAATCCGACCGATGGATGTTGTTGTGGAGCGCGATGACGTCAGCCGCAAGGTGCGCAAAGTACACGATGGGAGGATGAGGCGAGAGCAGCTGGCTCTCCCCCTTCCTCCCCCCTCTGTCCATCATTTCTCCAGGCTGTCAGTGACACCTGAGTGTCCACGTTAGTCCACTTCAGCCCGGTGACTGCAGTTGAAGCTGATGGAGGTAAAAACCGAAGCAACTGCACTTTTTCCTCGGTCGCATTTTCCTTCAACGGGCTTTTGGACGATGTTTCCTCAGGTAACACGGAGCTTTCCCCTTAACCAACGATTTTCACAGGAGTTAAATTTACACTTTTCTGCAAAAAAAGTTTAATTCCGCACCTAACCGAGTTGTTATCTTTGATCAATCTGTGCATTTGCAGGTCATCATCGTAATATTTAATGTTAATACGCAGTTTATCTCCAAAATTAATTTTAATGCAGTGTTTTCTTTATTTCTGGCGCACAGGTTGTAACTGCACACCTTTATTTAGCATTAAGTATATTTTTATTTGTTTTATTTTAAATCTTTCAAAGTATTGAAACATGTTTTTGTGGCATTAGTATTGTAATATATTGTCTTGTAAGTATTCGTCCAGAGAGAGGCTTCATGGTCGGTGTGTAGTGTGGACTGATTTAAAAGCTCACCTACAAGACGACGTCAAAACATTATTAAAAATGGGAAAGTGTCAGTGTAACTGGAATGACTACCATCATAGCTGGATCATCGGTCAACACATCAGATTTCGAAGGACCGTCAGAGTCAGTTCAAAGTGATTCCGTCGTTGCTTTAATCCACTTTTACTCCATATGGCATGTGCAGAGGAGATAGTGGAGCTTTCATTGGTTTAGCCCTGCACAGCTCAGGTAGACAGCTGCTGTGTGTGACCTTACAGGAGGTCACTTTTGTTGTTGCTTTTGACCCAGTGTAGTACTGTAGTACCTGCTCATGCAAAATACAAACATACAGTTTGATGCTACGATGCTAAATGATTATGCCAAATCCTTAATTAGGTTTATTTTTCTTTACTCGTCTAATGGAATGCTGTCTAACTGTAGGTATATTTTCTATTATTTTGTTTCCTTTTGTTCTTACCCTAAAACATAAAGCCAAAAGAAAACTATTATTTTACTCATTTCGATATGATGTTTTATCCCATAAACTATACAGTATAATGTGCATGTATGTGTATACTAATGTATTCAGTATAGACATGATTTACTCAACCCCTGATAACGTGTTAATGCCAATTATCTGTACTCTAACTTCAGCCCGGCCAGTGAGGTTTGCACTGATTTGTTTACATTACCTAAAATAATGATAGCTTTCAACAACTTCCCGCCGGCGACACACGCTGACATAAACTATGCTATGACAGGGCGTAGTCCGTACGGACTAATTTACCAATTGACTCGTGGTAAAAATATTTTCACAAGAATCTGCTCTTCAGTTCAGTCTCCGTGTCTTAAGTCACTACTCATCTTTTAAAAATGTTTGACACAGACGCAGATTTGCACCTGATGTTGATCAAATTGCTTTGCATGTGGACATATTGCGATGTGGCGTCATCGCTTCTGCCTTTTTGGTGCGGCTTTGTCACTGGTCCGGGGAGCTGACAGGCTGGTTTGTACAGTCAGTGTGTGTCTGATGTTATTGGAATGAGTGACAGGTCTTCTGCGAGTGAGTCGAGATGTCTCAGGAATTCAGTGGATGCGCCATCTGCTGGCAAAGCATCCATGAGCTTGGAAAGTGAAAGTAAAAAAGCGCATATATATAAAAAAAAAGCTATATTTCGTCTTTCACCCGTTGACTCCAGGGTTCTGTTTTTTTCTATCCTTGTTTCTCCTTTACACTCGACTGTGTCCCCTCCCCGCTTGCCAAGATTTGGATAAGCAGGGCACAAGGCTGAGCTGGCTGTCACATGACATCGGCAGGGTCACACAGAGACGTGCTGTCACGTTCTCCTCGTACCCTTTTCTTTTGGCATACACACATGTGATTTAGGCAGGATTGGACGAGGAAAGGCGTTGGAGGGCAAACGAACAAACAACACCCTGACGTTAAGACTCAGAGGTGAAGTTGGCTGGACAAGTCAGAAACTGTATATATATCGTAGCTCCACCCCGATTGAGGCACTGTAGTCAAAAGAGTTTCAATTTTTTGTATATATATTCAGACTTTCTGTATATATATTTAGACTTTCTGTATATATATTCAAAGATTAATTTCCTGAACGGCATGCCATAATATATATATATATACAGTATATGATGGTGGAATTGTGGGATTTAGTGGCAGAGTGCTACAAGCGAATAATAAGGAATCAGGACTAAATAAGCGTAAGCAGGCAGGTAGAAATCCAATAGGCATCCCTAATGCGTAATAATCTTGTCAGAAACAACATGTGTCAAACATGTGGCTCAGCAGCCTTTAGGAAACCTGAGGCGCCACCTGATATCCTAATACAGGTAACCTGTATTTACAGAACAGAATGCTGCTCAGCCAGTCATATTAAGAATATGTCAATTTTCTTTTTTTAATTGTGGGATTTAGGTTATAGAGTGAGGCAAAGAAAGAACTTTGTTTCAGGAAAAGATGAAGAATATAAAAGTACAATCAGTGAAGATGTGAAAATTGATATTCATTTGGCTTGCTGTGCCCCAACTACAATAGCTCCTTGCTCCCTATTTGGCCCCCGACCCCTACTTTGGGAACCATTGGTTTAACTATTGGACATAACTGTGTAAATACAGTAAAACTCTAGTATGTGAGGGATTAAACGTAAACAATAATCCTTCTGAAAGTATTGGTCGGTCTAAGGAGCACCGACCAAACTAACCACCAACCAAACCACAGACACAGATACTGTGTGCAGCTCCTGAGTTCCACCTAACCCAGCTATTCCGTCCCTTCCTTCTGTCTGCGTCTCAGCCCTGGTCAAGTATTCAACCACTCAGCTCCTCGCCCCCCACTGCCCTCCCAACACTCCACCCCATGCAGACCTCCTTTCCTGCCTCAGGATGCGATGCAGTGACGTTGCTTGCCAGCGCAGTGAGATTGTCCTTGTCCTGATGTGTTTGTGCACTGAAGAGGTTACAGGGGAAACAGCTTGCCAGGGGCAGGCAGCTGCTGCTTCCTACAGTTTGCAGCAGTTTTGGGGGGGACAACAGCAGGATGCCATGGGGGAGAAGTGGCTCAGCGGCCATGCTGCTGCTGCTGTCGGGCAGAGCCATCGGACGGGCCAAGACCAGGTAGGATCAGGTCTTTGCTGAAGATTTAGGCCCATGTACGGATGGCTTAATTTCAACTACAAAACTTGAAATTTTTGGTGTTTATTATTTGTTTTTACTGCTCAACGCTTCTTTGTTTCCTGGAGAGAAAAAAAAGACGTTTTTGATTTTCTCGGTGTGAGTTTCCTTCCACATCTGAAAGAACCTCAAAGACAAAAAAGCACTTTCTCAAGGCTGCATGATCTCACTGTTGCATTCTCTGCAGGCTAAGAGGATTGGAAGTGGAATTCAGCCACCAGGCTTAAACACCGTGGCGCTCTAAACACAAGCTGCTTTTTGAGTGGATTACTGGTTTCCTTGACCCAAGTTGTGGGTTGGGGGGTTACTTTATGTTATTTACCCTCGAGCCGGGGGTAAAAATGTTTGACATTTGGTCCGTTCTTCTGACTTGGTCTGTTTTCCTGTTGAATCTCAGGGTTGATTACAAGTCCATTCAACATGAAACAATCAGAACTGCCTTGACATTTATGAAAAAAAAAAACATGCTTTGTTTTTGCGGTAGTGCTCCTCAGATTGCTGGCAAGTGTTCAAGTTGTTACTGACAGGTTGAAAATAACACATTGTTGTTCTGGCTTTGGGATCTTAGACAAGATGTATAAATATGTAGAACAAATGTATAGTTTTGTTTAATTATAACTGTATTTAATTCATTTGTGGGTGTATGTATGTGTGTATACACACATATATAAATATATGTGTGTATACACACACATATATATATAGGAGGATTGGAGAACATATGACAGAGTACATTTTTTACTAGTACTCCTATCATTTAGAATATTTCATATAAATGTAACTGGTGTGTTCAAGTCCTGTCGGTTTTGGATGGAGCAGTTGGATTTTCTGGATATACCAAGAAGTCTCCCCAATATCTGCTCCACATCTCCCTTTAAGGCTGCTGAGCAGGTTCTATTTGAATTTTCATTCTGAAGATGCATTACGAAAATACTGTTTTGACCCTTTTATCAAACAGTCGAGAGCATGTTGTAAATCAAGAAACAAACGTTTACTCTACACACACCTGTACGCAGATAAATATCTGTATTCAGGAGGAATGTGTCAGGAGAGTGATGGTTGTCATGAGAGTGGAATTGTTGTTTCTCACCTCTCCGTCAGGTTATGATGATGATGCATTGACTGTCTAGTAGAGTTCCACCTAACCCAGCTATTCCGTCCCTTCCTTCTGTCTGCGTCTCAGCCCTGGTCAAGTATTCAACCACTCAGCTCCTCGCCCCCCACTGCCCTCCCAACACTCCACCCCATGCAGACCTCCTTTCCTGCCTCAGGATGCGATGCAGTGACGTTGCTTGCCAGCGCAGTGAGATTGTCCTTGTCCTGATGTGTTTGTGCACTGAAGAGGTTACAGGGGAAACAGCTTGCCAGGGGCAGGCAGCTGCTGCTTCCTACAGTTTGCAGCAGTTTTGGGGGGGACAACAGCAGGATGCCATGGGGGAGAAGTGGCTCAGCGGCCATGCTGCTGCTGCTGTCGGGCAGAGCCATCGGACGGGCCAAGACCAGGTAGGATCAGGTCTTTGCTGAAGATTTAGGCCCATGTACGGATGGCTTAATTTCAACTACAAAACTTGAAATTTTTGGTGTTTATTATTTGTTTTTACTGCTCAACGCTTCTTTGTTTCCTGGAGAGAAAAAAAAGACGTTTTTGATTTTCTCGGTGTGAGTTTCCTTCCACATCTGAAAGAACCTCAAAGACAAAAAAGCACTTTCTCAAGGCTGCATGATCTCACTGTTGCATTCTCTGCAGGCTAAGAGGATTGGAAGTGGAATTCAGCCACCAGGCTTAAACACCGTGGCGCTCTAAACACAAGCTGCTTTTTGAGTGGATTACTGGTTTCCTTGACCCAAGTTGTGGGTTGGGGGGTTACTTTATGTTATTTACCCTCGAGCCGGGGGTAAAAATGTTTGACATTTGGTCCGTTCTTCTGACTTGGTCTGTTTTCCTGTTGAATCTCAGGGTTGATTACAAGTCCATTCAACATGAAACAATCAGAACTGCCTTGACATTTATGAAAAAAAAAAACATGCTTTGTTTTTGCGGTAGTGCTCCTCAGATTGCTGGCAAGTGTTCAAGTTGTTACTGACAGGTTGAAAATAACACATTGTTGTTCTGGCTTTGGGATCTTAGACAAGATGTATAAATATGTAGAACAAATGTATAGTTTTGTTTAATTATAACTGTATTTAATTCATTTGTGGGTGTATGTATGTGTATACACACATATATATAAATATGTGTGTATACACAGACATATATATAGGAGGATTGGAGAACATATGACAGAGTACATTTTTTACTAGTACTCCTATCATTTAGAATATTTCATATAAATGTAACTGGTGTGTTCAAGTCCTGTCGGTTTTGGCTCAGCAGTTGGATTTTCTGGATATACCAAGAAGTCTCCCCAATATCTGCTCCACATCTCCCTTTAAGGCTGCTGAGCAGGTTCTATTTGAATTTTCATTCTGAAGATGCATTCCGAAAATACTGTTTTGACCCATTTATCAAACAGTCGAGAGCATGTTATAAATCAGGAAACAAACGTTTACTCTACACACACCTGTACGCAGATAAATATCTGTATTCAGGAGGAATGTGTCAGGAGAGTGATGGTTGTCATGAGAGTGGAATTGTTGTTTCTCACCTCTCCGTCAGGTTATGATGATGATGCATTGACTGTCTAGTAAAAAAAAAAAAAAAAAAAAAAGAAGCTTTTTGAAGTACAGTATACAACATTTTCTAATGCACATAGCTTCAGTATAATTTCCCAGGCTCCTACATAAACTGGCCCCAGTGTGTTTACGTGTGTGTTGCAATAGTGTGGAGTATCGAACGCTGATGGTATGACTGACACGTCACCGGTCGTCACAGCAGGTATGAGAGCGAGCGCTGAAGGTGAACCATCCGAAGGTGAAGGAAACAACTTCATCCATTGATCCCAAATGATTAATTTACTCCTGGGCTTAAACAGTGTCTTTTGAAGAGGTGATAATGTGTCCTCACTGCTCAACAAAGAGTCCTTGATTAACAAACTCAAACAAAGAGTAAGACGCCAGTGGTAGCTTTCTCTCTGATTCTTCTTAAGTTGGATTTAAGTCCAGGGTTTGTTTGGTTTTTTTTACAAGTGTAGGAAGTATTGTTTTTCTACTGGAACCAGAGAGTATGTTGAGGGCCATTAGAGTGGAGGGCAGGGTGTGTCGCCCGAGAGTGATGAGGGAGGGGACAGGTGTGAATTACTCGCTGGGCGTCGTCACTCCCGCTTGCATTCCAGCCTGGTACTGCCTCCACTCTGCTCACAAACACACGTCACACAGCCCTGAGCCTCAGCTCACTGACATCGTCCTCTTTTTCACTTCACCACGACAACGAGAACTTGGAGGACTAGACAGATTTATTGACACACGGTGTGGAATCAACAAGACTGGATAGAGTTAGATCGCCGCCACTCTACGTTGATTCCTGGGTTTCTTTAGGACACTGGATATGGGAGGCAGAGAGGAAGTTCTGATGAGCAGACTCAGGTCCAACATGCAGTTCTCAAACAGCAGGCTGAGCCATTTCAAGCTGCGTCCAGCGCAGAGCGCCCTGAAGGGCAACCGCGTAAAGACGTCCTACAAGAAAAAGTCCAGGTATGTGTAAGGAGAGATGAGCATGAGTGTTTGAGGGAAAGTCTCTCCACTTGAAGTGAGGATGTCCAAGTGCCACCGCAGTCACCTGCATCGCAACGCAGGAACTAAAAATCGTGGAGTTTATTTCCTTGAAGTCTGAGCTTTCAGTGACTACAATTTATATCTGATTTGTTTCAATGTAAACCTATGGTCTGTGGAGTGAAGTATAAGCCGTATTTGATTGTAGTTTCCGTTATTAAGCTTCATTGTCCCAGGAAATACCATTGAGATTAAGATTTTATTTTCAAAGGAGACCTGTCCGAGATAAACAGCAACAATTTTCAAAGTAAATACACACGAGAACTGGCAAATTATGAACAAATGTGGATGTTGTGAAGTCTCCTAAAACTTCTGGATTGGATTTAAAAGTACTTGATGAAATCAACAAATCTCCTCCGTGAGGTTTCTTTACATGTATAAGCCAAGGGATTTGGAAAGTGTGTCAAGTAGGTCCAGCAAACTGGACGATAATAACCACAAGTCATTAATTCTCAGCTACCTGTGAAAACGCATTAATACTAAATATTTTAACTATTTTTTTTACCTAAGAATATATATTTAATGGCCCAGAAGACTAACATATTTGCTAGGGCTCAATCAGAAAAGTCAGAATTTTAAACTCCAAAATTATTGATTATTGATCAGTGAGTATATATGATTAAAATTATATATATTATATATATAACTCATTTTAACGCATGGGCAAATTGTGTATATCCAATAATCCCACCATCCATTCACTTATCATTGCACTTATCATAGTTAATAAACATGTTATTTGCATCTGATCCAGCACCGACTCTAACTTCCGGTCACACTTGTCAGATTAGCCTCACTGAGCTCAGGGTTTAAAAATATTTCCTGTCATTACAGCTATTGTGTTTACATTCAGACATAGTACTGCGTAAAGAGAGCGCAGTGATTTACGAAAAATATCACCAATACAGTTAAATCAAACGAATCCCCCGGTCAATCTGTTCAGCCACACTACCCTGTGTTTCCGTTTTCTCTTTTTTGTACAAGGGATAAGGACGCAGTTAATGGTGGAAAAAAATTGGTCAGTTGGAAAACTAGACCCAGTAGGTGGCACTAATGCAACTAATATGAAACAAAACTGTCATTGAAATGCCATAAAGAAACAAAGAAAGATGTGGGTGTTTCTATTGGAGGTGAACAGTTGCACAGATCAGCAGAGCCCATGTGGGGTAGATTAACACTTTTCCTCTTTTTTAATTAGTAGGCAAAAATTAGTCTTGAACTCGTTATTGTTTGACATAGCTGATGGATTAGAGTCACATAAAGGCACAATAGTCTACCAACATATATAATGGCGCAGAGGAAGAAAATGTTTACATTTGAAAAAAGTAGGTCAAATACTATTCCTTGTCGTGTGCAGGGATAAAGGTCATGCATATAATTTTAGAAGACGTGACTCTAGTAGAGAAAATGTATGCTTTCATTTGCAGTAATAGATGACACTGGTCAGATTTGAAATGTATACTATAAACACAACATATCTAATTAAAAAACCTATATCATTATTACCATTCATAGGCCTCAATGTAATTAAAATAAGTACAACTTTCTTAGACGCTTTTCTTAACGACATAATGGTATAGACTGTGTTTGTAAGTACATATTTAAAATGAACCCTTTTTGAGACATGGGCAATAACATGGGCTTATGTATCTAAATGGGATGTAATTAAAAAGGTCGACTTCCTTTCTAGTTGTTGAAGTACAGCTCTGTAGATCAGCCTGCCTGCTATGACCCACTACACCAGAGTTAATTAATTATAAATTCAATTGGGTCAGATTTTTAACCCAAGAAATCCACCATATATGCTTGGTGGCTAATAAACAGGAGGTAACTACAACATTTGGACCAAAATAATACAATATATATGATCATTTTACATATCTGCTTTTAAAGGGACATGTTGTTTAGCCTTGAACTGCTAACACTGAACTCTTAGAGTAGAGTGCATGTTGCTGACGGGTTGAGTTCTTGGTGGGTCTGTCATCAGTTTTCTGTTATGATGTTTAGAAAAGTCTACCCAGTGTTCAGTTTCTCACTTAAGCCTCATGTTTTTTGGGGTTTTCTTTTACAGTTACAGATTTAGACTGAATAATGTTGAACAAGGTCATTGAACTAATTTCCTGTGAGGTCAGAGCCACTAATTCACAGCATAATAGGAACACTGCATACGACTAATTATGTACCTTGGCATATATATTTTAAGCTAATATATATGCAACATATACCCCTTGGGATGCACCAATACCACTATTCTTTCAAAAACTCTCACTTGTACTAGTACACGAAAAAAACTAATAATAATTCAGCAACCTGACACTCCGAGAATTCACCAACCTGACACTCCGAGTACAGTAACGGTACTCGGTAAATGAAAATACTTGCAATCTACCAAAGTAAAAAAAAAGGTCAGGTGACAACCCCATTCAAATCCTGTATACTGTAACAATGCCAGTATCATAACAATCTCCGATGACAATGTAAACGACCGTAAACAGATTTTATATCCGAAATGAGTGACAGATAGAAAACCAAACCAGTCCAGTCCATGCGTTTAGAAGCATTGAAACTGCAATTCGATCCGGCTGTACCCCGGATGATGATGTTCTGAAAACACTGACCTACACCTTGAAAGTACGAGCGCTATGAAACATAAGGTAACAATTACTACTATTGTCTCCCATCGCTCCCTCTGATAATCAACTGTTATAGCCAACATTCCTCAGCCAGAGATAGTGTCGTTGATTATGTCTTGGAGCGTGTGCTGACTTCAGGAATGTGACTGAACTGCACACCGATGGAGTGAGTCAGCTGACCACTTCCTGTGTCTGGGATCACAGGGTCACATTTCTACAGCTCCAGTGTGTGTGTGTGTGGGTATGTGTGTGCCAGTGGAGTGTGTGTGTCCCATTGTTGTCAGAGAACAGTATCCTCTATATGGTTGAGAGCTGTGCAGGAAGAGCTGACTGTGTTTCTCCCTGATTGTGTTGGGGGAGGAAACAGAAAGCAGACGTTGTTAAGTTATGTTTTATTTCCTTTGACTGTCGGGTGCACGCTTATTCTTCCATTTTTAGGGATTTCAAATCACATCGTCATAAAGGGGCGGTACCCGCATGAAAACGGCGCTCGCGGTACGACAGTGACATCTAGTGGACCTGCAGCGTACTTTGCCCTGGGCCATATTTTGCAAGAACAATAGAATCCCCCCTCTGCGTCCGCTCTCGTCATCTCCCTCCTCACTCCAGCCCTTCCTCCATGCGTCTCTCCTTGTCTCTCCATCTTCTTTGACTTCTACCGGCTGATTCACCCACCCTTCCCTCGCCGTTCATCTTACATTTGTATGTGTCTTTGTGTTTCTGCCTGCTGGTTTGCATGCATGCGTGTCACTTCTTCACATGTGTGTATGTCTGTGCCAGAGACCCCAGTCCCACCGAGATGAGCGTGGAGCCCTGGGCCAGCCCGCAGGACCAGGCAGCCGCTGAACACACACACAGCGCCGTTTCTTCTCTGGACCAGGAGCAGCATCCGGACAAACTCTGCCTGGACTCTTTCTGGAGCGAGGTGGAGACCATCCGACAGGGGAGTGGCGACGCAGACCTCGAATGCACCAGGAGGGACTCCAGACAGTCTGAAGGTAAAGGCTGACGAGTGAGGGACACAAAGAAAGAACTGAGGCGGGAGCCGCCGTGCGTTTATCCCAGCCACTGAATTACAAGGCTTTAATGTTTATAACAGCTGCAGCCGAGCTCCTCCACTAAATGATGTATTTGCCATGGCAACATATCAGGTTTCTCTCGTGCAGCAGAGTAGCCCCATCACCATGACGACAGGATCAAACAGTGCTGTTTTATATGCACAACCGCCAGTTAATGAGGATGCTTTGATGTTATGTTAAACAGTCACACAGGCTGGAGTCCATTCTCTCTAATGACTAGAATGAAGTACAAATACAGTACAATTCAAACAGGTTTTCTTCTCATCTCACTGCTGCTTCACCGGTCACCTCATCACAGCATCAGCCTCTAATTCACTGTACTTCCTCGTCTACTGCTCCGAGTGTCTATAAATCTCTGGTTTCATCCTCACCTCAAACTTCTTTTGTCCAACCGTGTCTCTGACTAAAACAGACGTCAGTTTTTACCTCCAAACTGCTGCATCATAGAGCATCTGCTCAGCACATCTCAACCGTGTCTCTGACTAAAACGGACGTCTGTTTTTACCTCCAAACTGCTGCATCATAGCTGCCACACTCATCTGCTAATTTCTCATCCTCTCCATCCTGCTCACTCTGCATAAAGCATAAAGCTCAGCATCTTTAACTCAGCCAACCGCCACTTAGCTCTTCGGTCTTTTTGGCAGTGTTCCAGTCTTCAGGCTGTAAATCATAGCAGATCTCACCACAGTTTTGTAGACCTTCTACTTCACTTCTGATTCAAACACACCACCACTAAAATACTTCACCAACCTCTCTAATTGATAAAAGGGCATATAGTGAAACAAATGGAATAAATAGGTGTACATGAATTGTGGTAGTGCTTGTTTATAAAATGCTGTGTTTGTTTGTGTCTGTGTGTCAGAGGGCGAACAGGAAGAGCAGTGGCTGGCTGACGCTGGGTTGTCGACCCTCATCAGCGAGGACAGTGGAGACATAGACAATGTTGTGTTGCTGTCTACCTTGACCCGGACCCAGGCTGAGGCTGTCCAACGCCGAATAGACTCTTACACGCTTTCCCTCCGCAAGAGGAACAAACCGGCGCCGCGGGACGTTCGTGACATCTTCAATTCCCCCATTACACAGGTAAGGACGGAAGACTCGGTTCTCTGGGAGCTGGAGGAACACAAGCAGAAGTTGTTTATGTTTTTAACTTCCCTCTTTTTTTTTTCATCTGACCAGTAAGACTTTTTTTAATACATAAGGTTATTGTATCAGTCTCCAGTTGGGGGGGGAAATTCCCATGGATCATAGCAACACACTGCAACCAAAAAACATGTGAATACAATAAAATAAATACATAAAACCACAAAGAATAAAAACACAATAGAAAACACTCAGTCACACAAAAAATACAACAAAGCCCTAGTCAGCCACACAACTGCCCTCGGGCCACCACAACAATCATAGATGATCTTGGATGAGAGCCCGGTACTTCCTCCCTGAGTACTGATATTTTGGGTGCAGCTCAAACAGATCATGGAGAATGGAGGGGGCTAAAACGACCACCATCTCATGGGTCAGGTTTATCGTGTGAATCTGGGTTATTAAGTATTCAACTTTAAGTATACTACATATGTATGCATACATATTTCAATACTTTATATTTACACACTGAGTCCACTGCTGCAGTGAAATTCATCATAATAGTAATAATTTGCATATACTCCCATGTGACTGTTATGTCAGTCTCCCTGTCATCCCATCCCTCTGTGTATTCTACCCCCTCGCTCTGTGCAGAGCGGCTGCACTGTGTGACAATGAAGTCAGATCAAATGTAAAGGCCAAGCTTTGTCCTGCTTGTCTGTCAGATGCTCCACCAGAGGAGCAGAGACAGTGTTCCTCTGATCTCATCAGTCTCCTCTCTAAAAAGAAACTGTTTTTACATCCATGTTCGTCTCCCCGGTGGACAAAGACAGACACTACATCAGCTCCCACTGCTGTGAAAAAATCTAGAGTGTGTGTGTCCGTAAAATCTCAAGGCTCTCTTCTCTCACCAGACACTTCTGCCCGATCCTCAGCACGGTGACGACCTGGCACAAAACAGCATGGCGTCGGTTGCCAAAACACCGCTGTCAGGTGAGAGCAATTGAAAGTGAATTAGCAGACTGATGTTGATGGACAAAGACATTGACTGCTGTGATGTGTATTGTGCATTAAGAAATAGCTCCGAGGTAGTTTTTTACTTTACACATTTGTTAAAAGGAGTATCACCCATGTGCTTTTTGCTTTATATATTTGTAAAAAAGAAAACGAACATGTTACAAGTTACTAACCGTTAGCTCTGCCTTATGTTAATATTTGTGTAATCTGTGTGCTGAGACGAGCAGATGTTCCCACCTCTGGATAAACTCTTCTCAATCCTAATCTTTAAAATGAAATGTTTGAACACCGTAAATTAACGCTGATTCATTTATACCATTTATTCTGTTCTATATTTAGAGAACATGTAGTATATGTGGTGTTTGTGTGGTGGTAACTGTACCTCTTGCTCAGGTGTGACCCCGGAGCATCAGCGGTGTGCCCCTAAAGAGGAATTCCTCTTCACGGACGTGGCCTACTGTGAACAGGCCGTCATCTTCCTCAAACAGGCCAAACTGCCACAGAACAGCAGCCAGAGCAGGAAAGAAGATGGGACTCTGCCTGTAAGTAAACATGAGAACACAAACGTCAGAAGTCAGGACGATGGAGAATTTCACAGAAATTAAATTTTAAAATCTAATATATATACATATATGAGCATTTGTGGAGCATCTGTAAAGCAGAGACAGTGTTTCTCTGATCTCATCAGTCTCCTCTCTAAAAGGACGCTGTTTTTATATCCATGTTCGTCACCCCGGTGGACAAAGACAGACACTACAACAGCTCCCACTGCTGTGAAAAAACCTAGTGTGTGTGTCCATAACATCTCATATCATCAATTTTAAACCAGGCATATAAATTAGCTTTTATAAACAAGTTCTCTCGGCAGTCTTAATAATTTTAGTCACATTGGATCAACTTAGATCAACATAGATCTTTAACTGTGACATTAACAGTTAATGATGCAAGAATTATCAGTGTTTGCAGAAACATTTCACTAAAGAAATAACAGCAACAGTGAACTTGCAGATTTTCCAAATGAATTTTTTTTAATAATCATGGACTCTAGCAGTAGACACCAAGAAGAATTAATTCAACTGTCTGTGGATAAAACGATGCAGGAGCAGGAACCAGACACCAGGGGGCAGAAAGCAGAGATTCAACAGTAGGAGAGCTAGTGCTGCTGGTTTTGCAGGTCTTAGTGGAGGAGAAGCAGAACAGGAAAAGAAGGAGTAATGTGGAGAATCCATAATGAGAGGCTTCTGTTGTGTTTTCAGAGAGATTAGCCTCAGGTGTGTGAACGTGTCGAGAGGGAAACCAGGCACACCCGCAACACTCTCACACGTGCACACTCACACACACGCTAACATAGACTGGTAAAAAGACAGAGATTGAAGAAGATAGGGAGAAGTTTATGTCCTCTTTCAGCCGAGTGCACGCTCATATTTAGGTCACATCAGTTTCAGATTTTTATGTTATGGTTTAAAAACAAATGCAGATGTTTCTGTTCTGCTTCACTGTGAGTCCAATAACTGGGTTAAAAAGCAAAAAAAAAAGAATGAAAGATGTACTCAGAACCAAAGGAGAGTTGCTCTGCAGCAGATGTTTCTGACATTTCCTTTTGTCCATTTTATTACCTGTCTGATCTTATTTTTTAATTTCCCAACTCTTAATTTAACCCTTCTCTGTTTCCCCTACCCTCTCGACCTCTCCTCAGCGGGTGGTCTGCCCCAAGTGTCGCCTGGGAGTGACTCGAGTCCAGGATCTCTCCCAAGCTGACATGAAGAAGGTGCGTCAGCTGGCTCTCATCGACATGACAGCGCTGTGTGACCTCTTAGAGTTAGAGGTCAAGAGGCACAAGTCCGTGAAGAGAAAAATCCCAGGTATGAAACACA